TATATCATCTGCATATTCTAAGTCGATAAGTGGACCTCCTGGAAGGAGATCAATACCTGAGAATTCAGTAGACGAGAAAGTTATTTCCATCAATAGGTCTATGATGAAGTTGAACAAAAATGGAGAAAGTGGACATCCTTGACGGACACCACTTGAGATTGCAAAAGCAGATGATAGTTCGCCATAAGCTCTGACTCGACTGGTAGTGTTCAAGTAAAGAGCCTTCACAAGGTTTATGTACTTCTGAGGTACGCCTCTCAATGACAGACACTGCCACAGAATCTCACGGTCTACAGAGTCAAATGCTGCTTTTAAGTCAAGAAAGACCACCATTGTCGGACGCCGATAAGTATGCCTATGTTCTAGAACCTGACGAATGGTCAATATGTGTTCGATGCAGCCACGACCAGGTCTGAAGCCAGCTTGATTCTCTGGTGTTTGCAGTTCACGAGTCTTAGTTAGGCGTCTGATAATTATCGAGGCTAGTATTTTAGATACTATATTAGTTATATTAATCCCTCTATGGTTGTCACAGGATGATTTTAATTCTCTATTATATATTGGGACGATAAGTGATTGTGACCAGTTAGATGGGATAACGTCTAACTCCCAGATCTTAGCTAAAATATTAGTCAACCTAATCGCTAAAATTGGACCACCATCCTTAAAGACCTCTGGAGTTAGTCCATCTGGACCAGCTGCCCTTCCTCGTTTCAGATTAACTATAGCCGCCCATCGTTCTAAACGTCTGGACTGAGAGCAGATGAGGGTGTCGTCTTTTTCCGAAATAGTCTGACTTACACTTGACTTAATAATTGCAGTTTCTTTTATTAGTCTGTAGAGCTGTCTTGTGTTTCCTATAGCCACCACCTTTTCCATCTCTCTTAAGCAATATTTATTATTACTTGATACCTAGGCACGTACTTTACATTGATAAAGATTAATAGAATATTAATAGTTAATTACAAGCAGAAATGGATGGTGGATAGCAGTGGAATTCAGAACTCACATTTCAACATATCAAAGACTCGTCAGTTGGATGTACCTGTATCCCTCAGTTGATGTTCACTCCAGAACAAGGACCTAGTGTCGTTCGCCTCAAATATCATCACATCATCCACCTAACTACTTAGTCTCAATATCCAGTAGCTTGTGTAATAAGGTGAAGTTTAATTCATTTATGTATTGGTTGTTTGAATCTTCCTATTGATATTTAAGACTACAATAAAGCTTGTGAGTTAAGACGATATTGAGGCAATCCGAACAAGATGCACATATACCAATAAGAAATTGATGAATTGCAGTCCTAATCGTTAGTGAAAAGATTCAAACAACCAATAGACAAATGAACTATGATAGAAGAACAAATATGTCCAAACTGTACACGTGTAGATTCTCGAGTTATGTATATGAATCAATATTTATTACCTGTCACACAAGGAGTATTGTTAATATGAAAAACTTGTTATCCTATTTCCCATAATGACTCTTTTAATTTTTATGACATAAAATTTTTAGCCAAAGTATATAATTCGATTGATAATAGAAGAAGGTAAATTTGAAGAATATTTTAGAAATAATCTACAAATCCTGTACAACTTAATATCATAATATGTTGTTCATCAATCGAAATAGGTCAATTGATTATCATTATTATTATTGGCTTTATTCAATATCAAGTTTTTGGTTCAATATAGAATTCTCAATCACTTACTTACTTACTTACTTACTTACTTATGCCTGTTACTCCTCGTGGAGGAGCATAGGACGCTCACCACCAAACTCCAGAAAACCCTGTCACGGCCAATACTTTCAACCTCTTTCCAATTGCTGTTCATCCTTTTCATATCTAATTTTATTTCCAGACATAATGTGTTCTCCGGCCTTCCACTTCTCCGATCCCCTTCAACATTACAAGTTAGGGATCACCTCATGATACAGTTTGATGATATCCATAAGGTATGTCCTATCCATTCCCATCGTCTTTCACGAATTTCCTGTTCAGACGGAATCTGGTATGTTCTCTCTCACACTGAAGACTGTTGCTCATAGTATCCGGTCAATGGATTTTGAGTATGTTGTGTAGACAACTATTTATAAAAACTTCTACTTCTTTGATGATGGTTGCAGTGGTTCTCCACGTTTCACCTCCGTACAGTAGAACAGTCTTCATGTTCGTATTGAAGATTGTGAGTTTGATGTTGACTTGCAGACGGTTGATTTGAGTTCCATATGTTCTTCATTTGTAGGGATATTGTCCATGCTTTTTTAATCCTTACATTTACGTGTGCATCTGATCCCCCGTGTTCATCGATGATGTTTCCCATGTATGTAAATGATTCCACATCTTCCATAGTTTCTCCATCAAATGTGATTGTGTTGATATTCTCCGTGCTGCATTTGAAGATCTTGGTTTTTCCCTTTCTTATATTGAGGTTTACTGATTCAGAGGCTGCTGCTATATTAGTTGCCTTCATCTACATTTGTTCGTGTGTATGTGATGGAAGGGCCAGGTCATCTGCAAAGTCCAAATCTTCTAATTGATTCCAAGCTGTTCATTGTATTCCGTGCCTTCCCTCAGTTTTGAAGGTATTCATAATCCAGTTGACCACCTGAAAAATGAGGAAGGGATAGAGTAGACATCCTTGTTTGACCTCGGTCCATAATTCGAATGCATCTGTCAGCTCTCCTCCATGCACGACTTTGCACTATAAGTAGTATACATCACAACCTATGTGCATAATATTTGATTATTTTAACTTATCAAATAATTTCCATTCTTTGTCTTGCTACAAATTAAATTTTACACTGATGAATATTAATTAAAATGGGAAGAACGTAGTTAAAACATTTACAAAACCATATAATACTAATATGTATATCAATGATAAACTGAATTTGGTATGTAGAAGTATCATTGTATCATGATTATCTACATCTAACTATTAACCAATCATAGATTTATCAGAGCACTTATAACACTTATAGTAGTCGAATTCATGAGTCAATTGGAGCTAGACCGCCACGGAAAACCTGGAAGCACTTGATGGTCGTTCCGTCCTATTGTGATATGCCTCAGCAGTGCCAATCCACAATCCCGCATCGCGAAATTCCAACCCAGGTCCTATCAGTTTCGCGTGCAAACGCCTAACATATAAACTCACTGAGCCGGCATCCAACGATATTAATGTCTAACTTCAACCAGTTGATGAAATTGCACCACCATCCAACATTTTCTTCAGTGACTTACCATCTCACAACAGACACGATTGAACTCCATTGGTCATGTCTTCTCACTAGAACTCCAGGCAATACCTCATAGAGACCATGACTAGTGAGCATATGATGATTCTAATCAGAAAAGACATGTTTTGGATATTATAGTAATTTAATAGTTGAATTCATGAAATAATTAAAATGCGCACTGTTGATGAGTCTCATACTAGAACAAAACATCCTTTCAGTGCTTCCAAGTTTTTCATGATAGTCTAGCTTCAATTGACTCATAAATGCAACTATTAAATAACTATCATATTCACCAAAACTCTTCTCTAATTATAACATTGTTTAATTAAGGCGTAAACGAATGAATTTTTCTGAAAGAAAAAAAATTAAAAAAAAAAAGAGAAAAGAGATTGAATTAAAAATGAACTAATAAAACTTGAAAAAAGAAACAAAACAAAACAAAAAGAAAAATAAGTTTCTTTAAACTGACCTTAATAACTGAATTATCTTGATTGAATATATGAAATGAAAAATATAGAAAGAATTTAGTACATGTGAATGTTCACTAAATGTACAGTTTATAAAAGTACTCTTTATTTTCATTAGGATAATTAGAAGATACTTTAATATTATTATTATTACCATTACTATTACTATTATTATCATTATTATTATCACTGTTATTATTATTAGAGTACAGTATCAATGAATTGCTCTGTAGTTAATACAATATGATAAAGTACAAATTCACAACAACAACAACAACGATAACAACAATAAAGAAAAACTGATCTTATTAAAATTATGTATGTTTAATAATTTTATTATCAGAGGGGGTTTGTGGAGATCTTAGAAATTTCACAGATTGAAATCATGAGTCAATTGAAGCTAGACAACCATGGAAAACCTAGAAGCACTAGACGGCCGTTTCGTCCTTGTATGGGATTCCTCAGCAGTGCGCATTCACGATCCTGCGCCCCGCGAGATTCAAACCCAGGACCTAGTGACTGACTTCAAGAGATACTCCTGGAGTTCTAGTGAGAATTCGTTACCAGTGGAGTTGAACTAGGTCTGTTGTGAGATAGGAACTCACTGAAAACAATGGTAACAATGGTAACGCTACTTCTTGGATTGGTTGAAGTAAGACATTAACACCGTTAGATGCCGACCGTCTCAGTGGTCTAATTGGCTAAGCGCTTGGCGCGAGACCGACAGGCCCTGGGTTCGAATCTTGCGGGGTCGTGGATGCGCACCTGCTGAGGAGTCCTATACTAGGATGAGACGGCCGTCCAGTGCTCCCAGGTTTTCCATGGTTGTCTAGCTTCAATTGACTCATGATTTCAATCTGTGTAGTGATTTTATGCTTATAAAATATAAATTCTATTATAAGCGTGACATAATCTTTATTTAATATAATTAGAAATATTAAATGTATATTATAGGGGAAAATAAAGATCCTAAAATACAACACGAAGAATATCAACACAATCACATTTGATGGAGAAACTATGGAAGATGAGGAATCATTTACATACATGGAAAACATCATCGATGAACAAGGAGGATCAGATGCAGGCGTAAATGTAAGGATTGAAAAAGCATGGACAATATCCCTACAATTGAAGAACATATGGAACTCAAATCAACTGTCTGCAAGTCAACATCAAACTCACAATCTTCAATACGAACATGAAGACAGTTCTACTGTACGGAGGTGAAACTTGGAGAACCACTACAACCATCATCAAAGAAGTAGAAGTATTTATAAATGGTTGTCTACACAACATACTCAAAATCCATTGACCGGATACTATGAGCAACAGTCTTCAGTGTGAGAGAGAACATACCAGATTCTATCTGAACAGGAAATTCGTGAAAGACGATGGAAATGGATAGGACATACCTTATGGATATCATCAAACTGTATCATGAGGTGATCCCTAACTTGTAATGTTGAAGGGGATCGTAGACATGGAAGGTCCGTGAACACATCATGTCTGGAAATAAAATTAGATATGAAAAGGATGAACAGCAATTGGAAAGAGGTTGAAAGTATTGGCCATGACAGTGTTGTCTGGAGTTTGGTGGTGAGCGGCCTATTCTCCTCCACGAGGAGTAACAAGCGTATGTAAATAAGTAAGTGTTGGAAATATTCAGTAATTATTCATGTATTTATTCAAAAAGGTAATCAGATTTCGTAGAGTATAACCCAGTCGTTACTACTTAATATGTTATTACTAGGTTTTATAAGTTTATTTTGAATAAGTTTGATTGAATAACTAATAAAAGATCTTCATGATATAAAGTGAATGCTAAATGATCGTAAAATCGAAAGACTTGAAATGATGAGGTGGTGGAGTTTTATTCTGTGGCTTAAATGGTTTAATCGTGGAGCGTTCATTGTTCTTCTGAACGACTTTATCGGTAGAACGATGAAATATTCACGACTAGACCATTAAGCTCAGAGAATAAAACTCCACCAAAATAATCCACATGAGCTACAAATCTTCTCCACCATCTCAAACATAAAGGTTAAGCGTTCAAGCGCGGGACCGAAGATCTTCGGTACGGGTGTCGTGTTTTGAGTCGTGGATGCGCACTACGCATGAGTTCGATACTTGAACGAAACGACGGTTTAATGCTTCCAAGTTTTGAATTGTGGTCCAGCCTACATCAACTTCGGGTGACAAAATCCAACTTTAAAGTTTATGCATCTTCGAAAATACGAACTTAAGTTGATAGATTACATTGATTATATTCATCTTAAGGAATGACATCAAACAGAGTGAGTAAATAATAACTATTCTGTGATTCATTGAAAATTTGAAATATCATGCTTGAACTGCTAGAAATTGATGAACTAGGATGTGTGAAACAAACAGAACACTATAAATTTCACACATTTTCTATATAGATTAAAATATATTTCAAATGTTTTCTATTAAACCAAGTAACGTAGTTTCTCGTTGATTTAAGTAAGTATACTGGACAACCGTTTCATCCCAGTATGAGGCTCCTCAAAAGTACAGATCCACGATCCCACGTCTTGAGATGCCAACCTAATACTTATCAGTCTCGCGCGCGAGCGCTGAACCACTAGACCATTGAGGCGGCCGGCATCCAACGGTGTTAATGTCTAACTTCAGTTAATCCACGAAATTGAGCGACAAATCTACCATTGTTATCAGTGACTTACTATCTCACAACAGACACGATTGAACTCCATTGGTCATGTCCTCTCACTAGAACTCCAGGCAATACCTCTTAAAGACCGTGACTAGTGAGCATATGATGATTCTAATCAGAAAGGACATTTTTTGGATATTATAGTAATCTATTAATTGAATTCACGAGTCAGTTGAACCTAGACCACTATGGATAACCTGGAAGCGTGTTGTTGTTGTAACTGTCCAACATATATTCCACGAGATAGTGTGTAATCATAATTTGAATGAAATCGGTTTTGCTCTATTTTGTGGAACTTATAGTGTAAATATATACTACTTTTTCTAGTATCAATTAAACTCAATTTAAAATAATTCAATAGTTTTAACAATCATCTTCAAAGCTGATGATGTTTATCTCTTATGCCAACACGCGTAGGATAAATATCAACTAATTTTCCCAACAGTTTTTTAATATCCATCTACAGTTTGCACTTCATTTACATTAATTTGTACAATAAGACGAGAATATCGTTATCGTTTCATTCTTCTAGACTTCTGGGCTTGACTAGTATAAACTGGTTAGCACCATTTTAGGAATGGGACGTAATTTAGTTGGGCTTGATCAATCCAAGATTAAATTATGAAAATATCACATTGATATTCCCATTATCACATAGTTGTGAAACCGTTTATACTGTTACCTACTGAAAGACTTATTTACTAACACTTACTTTTTAAACATAGAACTTCAATTGAATTTTATCATGTATTTATATGATTCGTTTCTAATGTAGAATTATGGATCCTATATAATATGTTATCAGTTATCACGGAAATACTCAACAATGTAGAGTAGCCAGTTATTTACCTATGATTTATGCATCATAGTTATCCAGGTATCAAGTACATTTTCTTCATAATTTAAGTGGTATATGTCAGTCAGGCAGTCAACAACGTAGAACTTCGTACTACGTACATCAGTTCGAGTTGCCATACCACATTAGTACAGAGATACAATCGTCGAGTCAAATCCCATAGTGGTAGATGTAGCAAGAGTATAAGCAGTAATCGGAAACAGTAGGGTTTAAAGATGTTATTTAAGGAATGTAATCTAGTGTATGTACAACCAACTAATATAATAATAGATGTGTGTCGACTTATATTTTGACAATACTGACTAATATAAATTTATTGTAAATTACAGTCAATATTTATGAAAATATGAAAATATTTAGTTTATCCATACGTATTTCACATTACTATGATAAGTACACAAAGTCCATCTGAACACACAGTTCATTTATATTTGCAATATACATTTGGCTACTTGTTAGTAGTAACAAAGTTTTTGATAAATAAACAGAATGAAAATACCTAAGTAGTACCTAAACGTTTGTAATCATTGAGACTTCTATTCAATTGACATCATAATCGTTTGTTTACATGGTGATCTTCTCACAAGTAAATCGGTGACAAGAAAACTTCAACTACGTTACCTGGTATATCAACACAGAGAAATATGGTTGATAGCTATAAGATTGTCAAATTGTATGTTGGTGAAGTAATTGTATGATACTGCAGAATACTCTGAATTTTCTCAATCACTGCCAATCTTCTGCAGCCGGGATAAGTGGTTATGGAACAAATCAGTGCAGATAAGGTTGTTAATAGGTTTTTAGGTGGAGTTTTGTTTTCTGAGCTAGGTGGTTTAACTATGCAGCTTTCACTGTTCTTCTGAACGATATCATCGGCACAAACTTGCAGGTAGCAGTGAAATGTTCGAATTTCTTGACATATGGCTGGCAGCTTGTCCTGATGACCTCGATCTTGATTGGTTGTTGACTTTTAACCCGTCATTCTCTACTTCCTTATTTTGATTGTTTCTCCTAGTGATTTGATTCTTAGTCCTATATTCATCCATGAGTTTTCTGACGGGTTGATAGATTGGATCGATTTCAATGTGTCTATTGATTGCCGATTGACTTGAGTGCCAGACTTCTAAAAATCCCCTTGTGCTTTTAGTATTCCCTCTAAGATTTTAACATTTTACCAGTCGAATGTGTATTCACAGTTCTCCACATGCATCGATATAAGAGAGGATATGTCATGGATTTTGACTGTTAATTGATGTTCATATTGGGGAAGATGAAGGGGGAACCCACTTTGTCCGTTGTAGTGTTTTTCGCAGGTGGAACAATTTATTTTGCTGATGACATTCGGTTTTCCTTATTTTTTATATCATCATTTGGTTTGCATGGGATTGATTAAAGTGATTTTGTGCTATACCTATTCCAAACAGCTTCAATAATCTTTGTAATTCCTGATGTCTTTTATATATGGTGGGATGATCCATTTGTTGATTTCTGTACTTGATTTTGTTTCCGCTAATGTATTAGTTTGATTCTTTTTGATTAAGTTGGTTGAGTAGTCGTTCTTTTGAAAGATAGTCACTAGATATTTTTTTCGAGCTGCAAGTGTGTTTCAGTGTGTTCTCGTTCTCTTGAATAACGTTTGTACGTAGTTGTTTTTATGAGTTCTTGGGTTGTCTTTACTGTCATAGAGAATTTGATCTGTGAAGGTTAGCGTCCGAGATACTTGAGTTTCCCGTCTTCCTATGTCGGTTCTGGCGATTAGTACATCCAAAAATGATAGTTTTTGTTTGAATCCTTTTCCATTGTGAATTTTATGTCATCGAAGACGTTGCCGATTACATTGTAGGTGTTTTCCAGATCGTCTTTTTTGACGATGACGAATGTGTTGTCTACATAATGAATCCGAATTGTTGGTTTGATTACTAGTAAGGCCGAGGCTTCCAGTCTCTGAATCACTGCTTCTGCAATAAGTCCTAATATTAGTGATCCCATCGGTGTTCCTATCGTTTGTTTGTAGATTTTATGGTTGAATTGAAAGTATGTTGTTAATCATAAGTCGAGGAGTTCTAGTAAACTTCGACTTTCAAGTTTCATGTATTTGGGATGATTTGTGTCGTTACTGAGGAGCAGGGATAGTTTCGTTTGCTAAACTTGGTCCAATTAAGGTGAATAAATCTGTTATCAGGTGTCTTAGACAATACGGTGGAAATTTGGCTGATAATTCCCTTGTTGTGTTGGATATAAGTTAGAATTTTACTGTTGTAATAATTGTCCAGGTTTGTGACCAAGGAGTTCTCAGAAGATTTTAAGTCAGTGAACAATACATAGATTCTGAATACTAAGTGTAATATACAAAGTCTGAGCAAGATTAAACCTCTTCGAATAGAAATTGAGTGGTTGTCTCTTGTTGTCGCATTTTTATTACGCTCTAACTTGATCTATCTATAATCAATAATAACGAAGACCTCATTGTTTTCTTCAGTCACTAGCTATTGTTTCGCTTATTTTATTGATTGACTAAATTTTATTGACAAACGTAGTGATATGCGTATTTTCATAAACATTCATTTAGGCGTAACAGTATGCAAGGGTAATTGTTGTGTTATTGATAGAAGGTTTTCATTCTCTAAATTCTGAGTAACATAATTTTTTTAATTTTCTCTAGGTTATATGCTCTGGATGGAGAGTACTGATGGGCGGCCTATGCTCCTCCAAGAGGACTAACAGGAGTAAGTAAGTAAGGTGAAGTATGTGTTCTAACCTGCTTAGTGTAATCGTGTGGCTTTCATTAACTTCTATTCATTATGAATAGCATCAAACTAATGAAATGAAATATCAGAATCCATTTACAAGCAAATAAGAGCTTATTCTATCCACTTCCATTACTTAGAAAAATATGTTTCCATGGTGACATTGACAACTCTCTAACTCCACTACTATTACTCATGTTCTATTGTGTTAAATATTGCCAATTTCGATCTATCACATCAAATTAATGATTAATGACAAATCTCCAAAAACACTAACCGAGTATATTATATTGGAATCAACTTTTATAACTGTCATTTTGAATTCTTTGTAACTAGGTCAATTTTCAGGTCATGCAGTAAACAATAAACATATATTGATTTAGACCAGTTTATTAGCCAATGATAAAATTTTTAACCAAACACAAGGTCATTAAATTAACGAATCATATTATAGATGTATGCATTAGCAGTGTAACCATGCTAATGACAAATTGCTTATGGATAAGATAATGAATCTATGCTTCATAATTTCATTGACAGATATATCGTCTTGCTTATTCCATGTAAGTAGTGAGTTTCAATATTTTATTTATTATCAGAATGGGTTTTGTGGAGATTATTAGTAATTTCACAAGTTGAAATCATGAGTCAATTGAAGCTAGACAACCATGGAAAACCTGGAAGTACTGAACGGCCTTTTCATTATAGTATGGGACTCCTCAGCAGTGCGCATCCACGATCCCGCACCCCGCGAGATTAGAACGCAGGGCCTATCAGTCTCGCGCCAGGAGCTTAACCAACTAGACCACTGAGACGGTCGGCATCTAACGGTGTTAATGTCTAACTCCAACCAATCCACGAAGTTGCGCCACCGTACACCATTGTCTTCAGTGAGTTCCTACCTCACAACAGACCTGGTTGAACTCCACTGGTAACGACATTAGACCGTTGGATGCCGGCTCAGTGGTCTAATGGTTAAGTGCCCGCGCGTGAGACCAGTAGGTCCTGGGTTCGAATCCCACGAGGTGCGGGGTCGTGGATACGCGCTGCTGAGGGGTCCCATACCAGGACAAAACGGCCGTCAAGTGCTTCCAGGTTTTCCATGATGGTCTAGCTTCAGTTGACTCATTTCAATTTGCGAAATTTTATTTATTCTTTATTTATTTTGTACAAAAGTGCTCCTGTTCATTTATTTTTTAAAGTTAACTAGTAAGTTGAATTCACGGATCCATATAAGCCAGATGACCATTCAAAAGCTGAAAGCATTGAACGGCCGTTTCGTTCTAGTATGGAACTCCTCAACAGTGTACATCTACGACCTCACACGTGACACTCGACACTCAATTTCGTGCACGGATGTTTAAAATCTAGACCACAGGGCAGGCATACAAGTGTTAGTGTCCTAACCTCAATCGATTTATAATCTTCCGAAACCCTTGATCCATTGCCTAAGACCGAAGGTCCTAGTCCGAGTCCTGCACGCTGGATCGTGGATGTGAACTGTTCAAAACGAAACGACAGTCTAATGCTTCCAGTTTTTGAACGGTAGCCTAGCTTAGATTGTCTCATGAATCCAACAATTAAAATTACTACAATCTCTACTATTCCACATTTTGATAACAACCATATGCTCATTAGTGAATATCATCAAGATTGATTTCTTGGAGTTTTAGTGAGAAGCTGTGACCAGTGGAGTCAAGTCCGCGTCAGGTAGAGATTGATATCTACCTCAGATAATGGATGAATGGTTGGGTAAGATCATGGGTTGATTGAAGTTAGACATTAATACTTTTGGATGTCGGCTCAGCGTTGTAGAACTTAAGTGTTCGCACATGGGACAGAAGATCCTGGATTGGAGTGTCGCATGTGAGATCGTGGATAAGGATTGTTCAGGAGTCTCATATTAGAACGAGCTGACCTTCCAATGCTTCCAGTTTTTGAATGGTGGCCTAGATTAGATTGACTCATGAATTCAACTGTTAATTATATTACAAACTTCGGAAATCCCCTTACTGATATCTAGTAGGTATATGCAAGCATTATATCCAGTTAATGCTAACAAGTGTTGTTCAAACTGACTATAACTGACTTGAACAATAATATATTACATTAAGTTTGCGAAAAGCAGTCAAGATTCAAATCCGTGAAACCCTATAAATGATTGACATATAATTTAAGAAACTTTAACTGTGGCTTCAAAAGAATTAGGTTTTAACTTTTGTCCAGTATTAGCCAGTAAAAAGTTATGGGAAAGAATTATTCATGGTGTACACAGCTTGATTTTACAAATATGCCAATTTTCTGGCAATAGTGCCCCTAAATGCCCTGATACGGCCGAGAGTGGGGAAAGTCAGCTCTCTCCCTTTCCAAATGCTCTCACATGACCACGCGTATATAGCCTCTGTCAGGGAAGTCCTACTCACTGCATTCTCGCACCGCCAAGGTGTTGTTTTCGAAATTGAGAGGACGAAAACTAAATGTCCGGCGCTTTAACCGGTTTGTTGGACACGGACAGTCCACCTAGGGGAGTTGGAATAACCTCATTCCAAACCATTGATGTACATGGGCTCCAGGATCCTGAGAAAACAAATGGCGTACGAACCAATCGTTGGTCACCGGCTACCATGGGACTGCATCTCCTTACGATGCTTCACTACCTTGTTGATCGGACCTTTATGTCAAAACCTCAAGGTGTAGCTTCCTAAGAAAACCACCTGCTTTGGTTTGGGCATCCGGGTAGTATCACAGACCTCACACAAACCAAATGAGATTTATGTGGTGCATATGTATTTGGTGCCCCTTTGTACCAATATCTATATGTTCAAATAAAATAAAATACAACTGGCAATAGTTTGATTATTTTAAGAAGAGTTAGATATTAGGTATCTGCAGGATTTATTACCAGTGTTTCATTCTGTTTAAAAAATTCATCTGCACTCAAATGCATCTGCACTCAATATCAACATCGGGGTAATCAGCATACGATTGGTTAATTGTAGTCTATATCATGAACGAAAAAAATGTAAACAATCAATAGTTTAACTAGCCTTATATTTGTCGTTATACTTTACATAATTTCTTTTCTTCACTTTTATAGATTATACTACTTAATATCTAAGAAATAAAGCACTGATCTATATTCCTGTAGATCAGTATTACGCAACTATCTCGACAAATAATCATTTGTAAATACTTCATTATTTATCTCATGTTTTATTATTTTGCATTTGGAAGTAATTTATTAAAAGAACGTATACAATTATCAAATAAATCTGCTCAATATGTTGGTATTGGAGTTTTAGAAGATTATGTTTTATCCTTTGGCGGATTAAGTAATAATTGGTTTGGAGCTACTGCAACAATTAAACTATCACCTTCTGAATATGTTATGGGTACTGTATGGAAAATGTGTATGAATGATATGAAAACATTAGATTTACAAGAATCTGCTCCAATAATGTATCGTCCAATTGAAATACCAATTAATCTTTTCTCTGAAAAATCTTCAATTATTAATTGTAGAAGTTATATATTAAATTCATCTGAATCCGGAGATCCATCTCCATATTATTTAGATATAATAATTCGTGGAGCTATTCAATCTCAACTTCCTCAATCATATATTGATCAATTAAAGAAAATTAAACATAATGGATATTTAGGAAAATGCAATCTGTATATGAATATTCTTAACAATATACCAATATCTGAGCGTTATATGTACCATATAGTAGATCTAAATAGATTACAATTAGAATAAATATATACTATTTTCGTACTTTTAAAAATTCTCATTATGTTAACTTTCAGTATATACATATACTACAGTTGACTTCAGTTTTAAGCGAAAGTTATTTGAGAACATAGAATGACCTCATTGTTACAATGCTTCTTTAGTAATTAGGGTTTAAATTCTTTTATTTTAGGAATTAGCTAATATTATATGCTAAACAATGAAAACTTTATAGATAACCATTTGATCTAGAAGTCATTTTGACTGATCTCTTTTTAGATATTACAGTTAAAAACTGACTCATGATTTCAACCAGTGAAATTTCTAAAAAAATCTCCACAAAACCCATTCTGATAATGATAATCATCTGCTTACTAGTGACTGACTTCAGGAGACACTCCTGGAGTTCTAGTGAGACGTCGTTACCAGTGGAGTCTAACCAGGTCTGTTGTGAGGTAGGAACTCACTGAAGACAATGGTGTATGGTGGCACAACTTCGTGGATTGGTTGAAGTTAGACATTAACACCGTTAGATGCCGACCGTCTCAGTGGTCTAGTTGGTTAAGCGCTTGGTGCGAGACTGATAGGTCCCGGGTTCGAGTCTTGCAGGAGGCGGGATCGTGGATGCGCACTGCTGAGGAGTTGCATGCCAGGACGAAACGGCCGTCTAGTGCTTCCAGGTTTTCTATGGTGGTCTAGCTTCAATTGACTCATGATTTCAACCAGTGAAATGACTAAGAATCAGTCGTACATGACATAAACATACTAATTGGTAATAAATAATAGTCTCAACATGCGTAATGAAGCTACTATATGATAACTGATGGGAATTTATGACTGAACACTTTCTGAGATAAAAAGCAAGTAGATTAAGAGTATTGTTCAAAGTTTTGTAATACATTATATACGCTTTAATTAATTAACGTATCTAAATGCCTGTAAGCGGGATAATTTGCAGTGAAGTGGTTTGTTTTTAGGTAACCGTTTCATTCTTCAATCAGGGATGTTCTTTACTATAGCGGTTTTATTACCAATATCGGTTTAGTTTTTTTTCGGTAGGAATATTGTAAGGTGGGTATATCAGTTTCCAAGGAGGATTAAAACTATGAAAAATTAGGTAAATCTCTATAAAAACCATTTATGAATAAAGATGCAATATACAGGCCAGACAAGTCGTTGAGAAAATAAACTGAAAGCTAAAACAATTCAGCGGGTATAACAAAGATCGTTCTATCCATATGAATTATGGATCCAGCGGTCTACATTTTTAAAAAAATTAGTTGTATCTCTTTTTTTCAAAGATAATCTTCATTGATCATTAAGTCATGTACACTTGGAAACTATATACAAAGTTTCATTTATTGAACATCGAAAGTGAAGTTATTAGTTTTGTAATTATCGATTTTTTAAGCAAAGATGGATAGTAACTAGCAGTGGAATCTAATTTGACGCGTGTTTCGTCCTATTTGAGATTCGTCAACTGGATGTACTTGCATCTCAGAGTTGATATTCACTCTAGTACATGGACCCAGTACCGTTCGCTTCAAACGACACCACATTGTCCATGTAGCTACTGAGTACTTAGAGTGCTTGCGAATTAAGGAAATATGCACATATGCTAATAAGAGACTGATCAGTTGCAGCCCTAAACATCAATGGAAAGGTTCAAGTAAACAATACCTAGTGAATTTATCGATTTTTTTATTTTAAAATATGACACCGAAGTGCTGTTAGCATTTTGTTATGCTGTGACTGATTGTCTATTAAGTGTTTAATGAGTGGCTAAATTGTAGTGATTGAATTTTTATGAAAGAGAATGGCTGTAGATAGTAGTAGTGTTATCCAGGACGCGAATGTTTTCCTGTCTAGGATTCGTCAGCTGAATGCATCAGTATCCCAGTGTTTATGTTCACTCTGACACTCGGACACAGTATCTTTCATAAGTTTGGATTAGCCCTGTTGTTTAGACTGCTGAAATTGATTTTGGTTGGCTCATGTGCGCACTATATCGATATAGCCATTTTCATAAGTTTTTATAACAACAATGAATATCATATGTAAAATCTTGTAGGAAACGGTCATATTAATGCATTCCACACAAGATGCACGTATACCAACCAAAACTAATCAAAAATCAGTTAACAGTTGTTAACAGAGTTGCTAAAGTACTAAGTAGCCTAATAAGTAATGAAAATACTTTTTGAATATATCATGGTAACGTTTTCATCATATGTTCATTGCATCTAATTGCAAATTAATTTTCATCTAGAATGCGTGTGTGTTTCAATCAGTTGCCAAGTACTCATTATGTTATTTTGTGGTATTTTCAATCACTTTCACTACAAATAAACTGTTACTTTGTTCGATAAAGCACATTAAGTTAGTTTTGACTCATCGCTATACTTGATAAAGCGGAAGTTTCAATAGTTGAAGTCATGAGTCAATTGAAGCTAGACCACCATGGAAAACCTGGAAGCACTCGACGGCCGTCTCGTCCTAGAATGGGACTCCTCAGCAGTGCGCATCCACGATCCGACCCCCCACGAAATTCGAACCCAGGACCTATCAGCCCCGCGCGCGAGCTCTTAACCATTAGAACCTTCTGATAATAATCATCTGCTCACTAGTGACTGATTTCAAGTGGCATTTCCTGGAGTTCTAATGAGAAGCCGTAACCAGTGGAGTCCAACCAGGTCTGTTGTGAGACAATAGTGTACGGTGGCGTAACTTCGTGGATTGGTTGAAGTTAGACACTAACACCGTTGGATGCCGGCCAGCTCAGTGGTCTAATGGTTAGGCGCTCGCGGGGAGCGGGATCGTGGATGCGCACTGCTGAGGAGTCTCACAATATGATAAAACTGCCCTTGAGTGATTCCAGATTTTCCATGATGGTCTAGCTTTAGTTGACTCATGATTTCAACTATTAAAAACGGAAGTTACGACCTATGGTTCTAATATATTGAAAGTATATTGTAACATGTGGAAACCTGCAAATTAATTTTCTGTAAATGATCTATATAAGAATGATCAAATACTAACCAAGCTAATAGTAAGTACCATCTTATGTAGTGGACGAGAACATAAGTGGAGACAATCGAATGTATTTGAATACAGAATTACAGAGCACCCTATTAAAATCTGAGAGCAATACAGTAAATACTTCATTTGCAAAATACCAATCCATCGTCTCAGACTTCATCGTACCTGAATTTTCATACCAATTACTTTCTGTTTCCGTTCTTTCCTTCTCGAATTTCTGCTGCCAGACATTCTAATCCTGACTATTGTTATATACTATTCATGTCGATATAAGTGGCACACACCATACTTATTCTATGTGTTAAGTTTACAAATAAGGAGTCATTTTACCTACCTACGAATGACCAATCCGGACCACACTACAGAGAACCAAATAGATCATATTTGCATCAACAAAACTCCGAAGGACAATGGAAGATGTGAGAACCAGGAGATGTGCTGACGTAGCTTCAGATCACCACCTAGTTGTAGCCAATTTAAAACTGAAGCTAAAAAAGAACTGGACAAGTGGACAAACAGCAATACAAAGGTTCAATACAGCCTTCCTTCGAGATACTGACAAACTCAATGAATTCAAGATAGCTCTCAACAACAGGTTCCAAGCCTTACAAGATCTACTGAAAGAAGAAGAAACTACTACGGAGGACAACTGGAAAGGCATAAAGGAAGCATTAACTTCAACGTGTCAAGAGGTTCTCGGTCTAAAGAAATACCATCATAAGGAATGGATCTCTACAGAAACACTGGACAAAATCAAAGAAAGGAAGAACAAGAAGGCAGCAATAAACAACAGCCGAACACGAGCAGAGAAAGTCCAAGCACAAGCTGAATACATAGAAGCAAACAAACAAGTGAAGAGGAGCATTAGAGCCGACAAGAAGAAATACGTGGAAGAGCTAGCAACGACGGCAGAAAAAGCTTCAAGAGAAGGAAATATGAAACAGCTTCACGATACAACGAAGAAACTATCAGGGAAATACAGTAAACCAGAGAGGCCGGTCAAAGACAAAGAAGGCAAGCCAATCACCGAAATTCAATAACGGCGTAACAGATGGGTAGAATACTTCGAGGAACTCCTGAATAGGCCGGCTCCAATGAATCCAGTGGACATCGAAGCAGCACACATAGATCTTCCTATAGATGTCAATCCACCAACTACGGAAGAAATTAGAATGGCCGTCAGACAAATCAAGAACGGGAAAGCAGCAGGACCCGACAACATACCAGCTGAAGCACTGAAATCAGAAATCGAAGCAACCACAAGCATGCTTTATCTTCTATTCAAAAAGATTTGGGAGGAGGAACAAGTGCCGATGGACTAGAAAGAAGGACACCTCGTCAAGATTCCAAAGAAAGGAGATCTGAGCAAATGTGAAAACTACAGAGGCATTACACTACTGTCAATACCAGGGAAAGTCTTCAACAGATTGTTGCTGAACCGGATGAAGGATACAGTAGACGCCCAAATTCGAGATCAACAAGCTGGATTCCGTCAGGATCGGTCGTGCACAGACCAAATTGCAACACTACGGATCATCGTCGAACAATCAGTTGAGTGGAACTCAACACTATACATCAACTTCATTGATTATGAAAAAGCATTCGACAGTGTAGATAGGAGGACATTATGGAAACTTCTTCGGCACTACGGAGTTCCTGAGAAGATTGTCAATATTATCCGGAACTCATACGACGGACTACAGTGCAAAGTCGTGCATGGAGGACAGCTGACAGACTCATTCCAAGTAAGGACCGGAGTCAGACAAGGCTGTTGACTCTCTCCCTTCCTATTTCTTCTGGTGGTCGACTGGATTATGAAGACCTCAACATGTGAAGGAAAACACGGAATACAATGGACAACTCAGAATCAATTAAACGATTTGGACTTCGCAGATGACCTGGCCCTCCTATCACGTACACACGAACAGATGCAGATGAAGACAGCCAGTGTAGCAGCAGTCCCTACATCAGTAGGCCTCAGCATACACAAAGGGGAAACTAAGGTC